AGCTCCACCTCTAGCTGACAAGGACAGGGGATAAAGATTTCAGGCTGAAGACCCTGATCCATAAGTTTATGACAAATGCACACCCATAACATGAATACTCAAAAAATCTTAAAAAAAAAAAAAAAAAAAAGGGGGGGGGGGGGGAATTTGCTATGAAACCAATCAGCATTTCTAAACAGTGGACTCTTGACTTTAAACAAAGTCATAAATTAGGGGGGGAAAAAAAAGTCTTCAAATTAAAACACTTCCAATTCTAGCAGCCACATGTATCTCCTGATACAGAGTTTGGCAGGTGTTTACTTCTGAGTATTCATTCTGAAGCTTTCAACACAACAGCTGGACCAAAGCATCTTCAATTGATTTGTTCCAGCAGAACTCTCCTGGTTTCTCTCCCAAGGGAAACGGAACCAATTCCGTAAATAAAATGAGCTACTTACCTGTACAGTAAGAAACGCTTTGAGTTATGCTGGCTGCAGGCACTTACATTGCATATGCTTTCTTACACCTTTGTTCAATCTTTTGACCAGTACGACGACTACAGCATTCAGCTGCTCTGCAATTCACCATGGCTCACAAGAGCAGCATAAAAATGTGAAGCGTGCTAATCACACCTTGAAATCTTTCTACCAATAGATTCCAGAAAGAACCTTGAGACGCCTTCATCTAGCAGATGTTTAACTTTCTCATTCTCCTTCAGTAATTGTCCACATGTCTAGTCCACTCCTGACTTCTTTTTGATCATGTTAATTAACTCAAGCCACCGCAGGATACATAAGGCAACACCATTAAGAACTCGTACGTCAGAGATTTTTCAGGGTCTGGTAACACCACCACAGAATAACAGAAAAACCGTATTACCGGACCGAGGATGAGGACCAGACGAAAAGTTCCCTATAGGTTAATTAGAAACAGAGGCTACAGAAATGTGTGAAGGTCTCATAATAAGCGTTCCCTCAGCCCTTAGAAATAACTTCATTCAACTCTGTACTGCCTGAAAGGCCAAAACGTGCACTTTAATAGAAGAGGCAACCTAGATTACATTTGGGAGAACAGACAGTCCAAAGTCACAGTGTGCAAGGAAAAAAACCTGCTGTTGAGTCCTCTGGAGGAATAATCTCTTGCTTCTCAAAGGCTCATATACACTATCTTACACTTCAGATAAGGACCCTTTCCAGAGCTGTCAGCCTACCAGTATCTAGCATACTGATGCCAGCTGGTAGACCCCTTGGCCTTGCTGAAACATCAAGCCATTGAGCTGAAAAATAAGCCAGAAAGCTGCCAAATTGACTGAGAGATTCAACTTGGAATACCATACTCAGAGAAAACAAAAAATTCTGGTCTGCTCTGGGACTGCCAGGGCAAGACAACAAGACAGATCCAGTCTGCTTGAGCATGCTACCAATTATACAAAAAAAAAAAATATGCAGGAAAGTTGAATAGCTAGAAGTTCACAAATGAAAAAAAAAAAAAAACACACACGTAACTGGCAAGGAGTTTTGCTAAGCCTTCCTGGCTCTGTTGTACAGCCAGCGGAAGGGGTTCCTGCCAGTAGACCTCAGGGAGCTAACTAGCTGCAGACAACAGAGAGTATACCAAATACAAACGAGCCTCGCTTCCTCACACAGCAGGGCAAATCTTGCTTCTCTCCCCACCTAGCGGTAACATGCCTCGCAGCAGCAAACACAGACATCAGACAAAAGGGGGAAGAAGGATGAAAAACACACACACACACACAAAACAAACCCCAAAACATCAGCATATTCTGACTCAGATGGATACTGGTTAGGAAGATGCCTCTGCACAGTGTGATCTTGATGTACTACAGCACCTGAATCTTAAAGCTGTCACAAAACCATTCCCACAGCTGAGCCCACGTGCCCATTACCACAGTGCAAGCAGGCAGTAACAGAACAGAACTCTGCCTTGTAACAGCACATCTTTCCCCAAGCTTAAAGGACAGGAGAACTTTTCTCATTTGATCCAGCTGTGATGTCTGCTGTGAAACATACATGTTTCAAGACAACTGCTGCAAGCACTGCAAGTGAAATATGGCATGATATGTAATCTTAGTGTATCAGCACATACCCTGAAGTTTCAGGAAAAACTGCACCAGTGTTTTAGATTATATGAAGCGTTGCTCTCAAATAGCCCCTGTGGTCTAGAAAGCCATCAACTTACAAGTTCCTAGACTCCTGATTTGGCATCAGGACGAATTTGTATCTATTTTCTTGTAAGGTGGAGAAATAAAGTGAATAGAGATAAACTAAATCTTTGCCCCATTTCAGTCCTTGAAACTGCTACCTGTAAAGGAATATAATTTAACCCACAGGCTATATAAGCTTGCAGACACCATCATCAGGGAAAAGCACACTTAAAATAATCAACGACTGCTGATAAGGCAGCCTCCATATTGGCACAAAACAACCTCTAACAGAAGCAGAAAAGAACCTTCTCAAAACTACACGGACCAAAGCATTAAACACTGTGCAGTGAGCAGCAAATCATCTGGAAAGATGCAGGAAAATTATGGATATTAAGGTGACCATATAGATTAAGAGGCAGGGAACAGGACAGCAGGAGGCTTTCAAGAAGTGACCACATACACGGTATGCAGAAAGGAGTATGAGTTCCCACAGTCCCACCCATACCACAGATAAGAGATGTTGAAGTTCTCCAAATCTGCTGAAAAGAGTCCTCTTCCCCCCAAAACAGTCCTATCCCAGGTGTGCTGGCTACAAGCATAGATAGAGCCAGAGCAAGTAGTTGTCTGCAGATGCCTAAAGAAAGTGCTTCCTCTTACATGACTTCAATACCAAATCTACAGCTCAGGTGCTGACTGTAGTAGCCGACTTGGGTACTATGCCCTGCGCAGAAGCTGAGATTTAAACATACACCTGACAGGCAGGCACAAAGGCCAGGAGAGCAGAGAGAAAACAATGCTGAACTAGTAACAAAAGGTGAAAGTTCTCCTGAAAAGAAGACATCGTCAGCTTGGAACTGCAGGTTTATTCTCAGAGACCAAAAGAGGCTACAAATGTCCAGGGCGCATCACAGCAACCGAACACCTGATTTCCAAGGGAATACCCAGGCTCTGAAGTTCCCCCACCTATTTGGTCTGTGCAAGGACAATGCTCAAAACTGCACAGTGGTGGTACCCCAAGGGAGGGGGAGGTAAGTTTTGCTTGGACTTAGCAGTAGAAGCTAGCAAGCAGGTTAACACACAGCTCCCGCAGAATCATGTCAGCCTCTTTTCTCTATCCTCCAAGTTCCCTTCTTCCAGACCAAAAGATGCAGTTAAAAAAGGTGTGTCAAACTAAGCAGTAGGCAGTCTGTTATGATGGATTAATGCTAAGTTTTAGCAGGGCAGCTGGACAACTTGACCCTGAGCCAACCTCTTTTCTTCAGATATCAGGCAAATACATGCAAAGAAAACCAGAGCTATGAAATTACCACAGAAAAGTGTGAAGTAGAAGCAATAAGAATAGGTGACACTGCCAAGACTAAAACAGCACAATTCAACTGGAAAGGGCTGTCCCATACCTTGACACGCGTGTGTACAAAGGTTTCAAAGGCTTTAATGCAGGTTTTTGAGATAATCTGATTTGAAAGTTGCAGCCATCTCAGAATCACTTTATCAGCTGTACATAACCTGTTTTTATATGCGAGATCTAACATGTGGGATCCAACATAACCACAGGTTTTCTTTGTTCAGGAATCAAGAATGTCAGCAATTTGGGGATTTAAGAAGTACGCTTTAAGTTGCACAGATGATGGAGCAAAGGAACTGGGCAAAAATTTATTCTAAAAAAAACAACATGAGAGAAACCATCAGGTTAGTTCCGTAATCTCTACTCAGTGCTTACTATTTAAAGTAAAGTTAACTGTTCATTAGCAGTGAAAGGCTGCAATTAGTATTTGGAAACAATAAAGTAGAACTGCTATAAACTGTTTATTTTCACTGACAAAAAACAAAGTACTATTCTTCTGCCATTTCTGTAATAATATTTATTCAAACTGATCAAAAATCGTAAGTCAAAACTATTTTTAGCAAAGGTTTTGCCATCCCTGATTATGCACACCATATGAAATTTGAAAAGTCATTATTACTGAAATGAAATGAAGGACCACACATCTCAAAGAAGCTATTCTAAGTCAAATAAAATCAGAAAAAGTAAGTGATTTATGGATAGAGGGAAAAGAGAAAAAAAAAAAGAGTAGTATAATGTGAGACCCAGAACCGCCAGGAGGATATCTTCTTTCCACTGTGGACTGTAGCATCATACCTGAGGGTTTCCTAAATCCCTAGTGCTCCTCCTTCCCCATTACAAACCCTATTTTTTTTTTACATTCTTCATTTAACACTACTCAACTTCAAAGTGGTAAAACTCCTCTGCAAAACACTAGTCTGCCAACAGTACTGGTCCAAGAGCAACACCCAGAGGCCAAATATATCCCTACAGGAACCCTGCACTCTGCCCTGTTTCTTTTGGATAAAGAAAAACCTCCAAAAATACAAGCAGCAACTGTTGTCAAAAATAAAAAGCCGACAAAACTCTTCCAATGACAAAGTAAGTGGTAAAATGTTTCAGGCAAACGAACCCAGGCATCAAAACCTAAACTTTAAAACCACTGTGAACAAGGTTTAAGAACAGATAATATACACACACTTTTGTGAAGCAGATGTGCAGTGATTTTTGCAATATGCACGTGTATAGAATTTTGCATGGCAGCAGCACTATAAAGGAGCAACTAAGACAATGCCTTCTGCCTAGAAGGTTAATTGCATCTTGCTTGGACTACAAGACAGAAAGGAGGCAGTCTGCTCCCCGTTTACTTGACCGGCTGTCAGAGCAGCATCTACGAGCGTTAGCTTGAAGGCACTTTTTGTAGGAACATCTGTGGCTACGCAACAAAAAGACTCCAGCAAATCAGTAATACCCTACCATCTTTAATAGGAACACTTAATTTGGAATCACAGAAAAAGAGACAGCAAACTGGGTACAAAAACAAGTCACAAGGCCTTCATCCTAAGACTTCTGAATCTAACAAGACTACTCTCTGTAAACTTAAAGTCTGCAGAACAGATAAAGAAAAAAGTTGACAAACTAAGAACACAATTAGGAACAGCCCAATAAATTAAGAGAAATACCGAAGTCAGTCTTTCTACTGAGAAGAAATACAACAGATTATAGCCCTGAACACTTATTTAGAATCAAATGTACTTAAAATAATTTAAGGCAGTGAATTCTGTGTAATCACAAAACATGACTACACCTACCAAACTTTTTATCTTGAGATTTGATATCAGGACAATTAATTTCGAAAATAATCAGGAACAAAGGCCTCAAACACCTGGTGAACAAGATCTTCATCTACTCAGCAGGGTTTATCCCATTTTCCTCAGAGTTATTTACATTCTCTTCATTTTTATTCATCTTTTCAGAATCATGCTCTTCATGTGGCTCAAGATCTTCATCCGGTTTTGCATCAGCTAAGAAGAAGCAACCATCCTTCAGTACCTGCTCAGCTGTCAGTCTGTTACAGCATAGCAAATTCAAGAGAAGAGATTTGACTTTATCATCCTAGAAACAGAGGGAGAAGAATCTCATCAACCAGCAAAGCAAACACGATTTCAAATAACAACCAAGTATTTGATGAACATTTCTCTTCAGTGCTCAAAGCTATCACAAAAGGTTGTACCACACATTCCCAATGGTCAGCATGCTTAACACACCTAGTGTTCGATAAGAACAGAACAAAAGCAGTCAGCACTGCCAACCTGGTGCCAGCAAATTTCACAAAAGGGTATGTGTCATATTTTAAAACATCATTTCCCTGAACTAGAATAAGTTAGAGAAATACTGAAGTCAGTCTTTCTGCCGAGAAGGAACACAACAGGTTCCATTTACCTTCTATATCAGACTTGTAACTTCAGTCATTTCCTTTACCTCTCTGCAAGAGCACAGAAAAATAAAGAAATGGAACTAATAGACTGTAAATCAATAGCAGCTATTTTGTTATTAGCCCATTATTTATACCTAGATTCCTTGGGTTTTTTTCAGAAGGAAAAAGTGCCTAAATGCTTAGCACCTCAACGCCAGACTCCAAATGTAAAATACAAGAGCACAGCTGCTACACATACGCATAAACAAGAGCTACTGAAGAAGAAAGGGCACACACCGGATTCGGACAACAGGACTACAAGAAAGATGCCCTTCGAATGCTCAGCTAGAGAGCTAGATGACCAAAATTCAAAGTAAACAGAACATTTCCATAAGAGAGCTTGCTTGTTTGCAATCTCCCCAAGCTAGCATCGTCTCTGACCACGGTCAATACACCAGCGAAGCACAGAATACCGGCATGTCCCCTTGCCTACCCTCATTTCATCAAAAGAATCTGATCTATCTGCTACAATCCCCGTGATTCAATCACTTGTGAACGTACACAAGCAGTCAAAAAACCTGGGGACAAAAAGCAGCAGATAATTCCCAACTCTTCCACTGATTTGCAGTGACGCACGAAAATTAACCTTTTCCCAAATGATCTGAAATCTCAGTGAAAAGATGAGATCTGAAAATGTTCATCTTACAGATGTAAGAAATTGTAAAGTGTTTTAAAACTTTTAAAATGTCCAAAAGAAAATCTCTAGACAAGAACAAACACTTGACACACTGAAATGCATAAGTGAACTACACGACTATGTACTTCCTCTACAGAATTACAAACGAAGAAAGTGAGCATTAAAATAGATTTAAACCTATTAAAGCTTTGCACTTACAAATTTGCATTTCACAATGCTGTCAGATGTCTGTCATCAACAAACATCCCCTTCCCACCATCTTCTGGCACTAAGGAAACTGAAAACTGATCCCACAAGTAATACTACTGTAGGACAACATTTCATTGCATTTAATCCAACTCGTTTGCTCCTGTTTATCTATTTTTTTAAATATAAACACAAAAAACTGGAAGCTGAAGCACACTGAATGTCGATGCTTAGCATGGCTAAATGAGTGGCTACAAGACTTTAACTCTTTAACTACTGCTTCTCCTCAACAGCTAGCTTAGACAGTTTATTAATATCCTCTTGTAATGCTTCAAGTTTTTCTGCAATTTTATATTTGCAGAAAACAACCAAAACTTTATTTGCTGAAAGTGTGCAATTCCTCTCGGGAATGAGACTGAGATAGAAGGGAAATTACTAGCCCTTCAAGAGCCTGCAGATGGGCATGGAGATTAGTTCTGAATAAGCCGATTACAGATAAAGCACTTAAAAGCGAAATAGATTTTCCCTAAGAACTGGGGCAAGGATTAACAGCCAGAGGTCCAAGAGATTCTCCAAGAAACACTTGACAGATATTTATTAGTATTAGATTTCTTAGTAAAACTCTCTTGTGGGAGTTCTTGTGAACCATAGGCAGCATGGATTGCCTTCCTATGGACTTCGGTGCGCATGCATGCACGCACGCATCCAGGCTGAATTCTCGCAAACTGCCAACAACAATACGTCGATTAGCATGGTATCATTTATCAAGGTCAAAATCTAATGCTGTTTCCTTTCGTTGGTGAATAAATTAAGAAACTTTCTCTTATTAAAAGCTGTAAAAATGAATGAAAATAGAATAATAATGGGTAACTTCATTATTTGTAAAATAAAAGTAACTGTTCACACTTCAAAAGACACCATATGACAGTAACAACAACAGAACTCACAGTAAAAAACATGTGAAAAGTAGTCCACACTGAATAAAAAAAAATGTAAGAGTAACCCACTTGGAGGAGACGGGAGGGACACAGTACAAGAACCAAACAGTCAGTAACTATAAGGGCACAGATACAGGAAGAGTCTGAAGCAAAAATTACTCTGGGAAGACTGGTGATTTGAGAAAGGGCCATAAGTTACCCAGGGAAATTCTTTCAACTCTGTATGCTGGCATAAAAGTTGGAATAACACAAGACACAAGAAGTAAAAGGAAATCATCTGTAGCAAAAGGTAGAAGAGGCTGAAAGCAGGCAAGAGAAGGCCCTAAGTCTTGGCCAGAAGGCTGAAAGCTTACAGGAAAAGAAAGTTACACAAGGAAATAAACTCAAGGAAAGAGATAGGTAACTAAGGCATACAGAAAGACGACCATAAAAATATCTATTTATGATTAATGTCCAAGAAATAGATATATTAATGAAGGGTGAATTTCAAGGCTGGAGACCTAAGCTGGGAAATATGAAGGCACACAACCCTACTCCTATTCTCAAAGGAGTCACTGGGCAAGGATAAGTTTCAAAAAGAACCAGTAGTAGTGTTCCAGGTGGCAACAGTGGCTGACAAGGGCAGACCGAACAACAGTTGAGAGGGAAGACAATGAAAGCAGCAACATAAAGGGTCCGTTTACGTATCCGAACTTGTATCATAGGCATGGAAAGGGTAAGTTTCACAAAGAACAAGAATTAAAGCAAACAATAAATGGCATGGTACACTTTCACAACAGCAAAAAGGGCTTAAAATGGAAGTTGGCTATTTTATTAATGGTTAAGAATTGTCCAGTAATTATGTTGGAAGATACAAACAAAGTCAACCTCCCTCACTTTGAAAAATTAGGTTCCCAATTCAAATATCTCCTCCGATTATGAATCTTAGTGACTTATTCCCCAAGTCTGTACCTTGTGTCCTTCAATTATCTGTAACGATACCGTTCCTCCTAAGGCCAGAGTCTAATATTAAAGAACATTCTGGGGTTTTCTGCCTTCTCTAACAGGATTTTATTTGTGCATGCTATTTAGGACATCCAAATGTTCAATTAAGAACATTTTCCTCAACCTAGCACTTAAAATCAAATGTTTGATTAAATTAAAAAAAAATTAGCCAGTTCTAAACAAGAGCACTCTAATCTTCCCCATCTACCAGTTACCATACCGTATCAACCACATCCACCTCTGGTGTTCCATCTTCCTTTATGCCAAACTCTTTGTTTTGAGAACAAAGCTGTAAATGAAAAGATACACTATGTAAAACATGAGTTTTTCCCTTAGTTTAACAAAACAAAAAACTTGAGTCAAGGAGATTCCATGTTTTAAATGAAAATGGACTGCTGTAGGAAAGCGGTGGGGGAAGGCTGTTCTGTAATTTCACAGTAGGATAACACACACATGGGACTCAAGTTCCCCTCACACAGATACAAGGGCTGGGGGCAGGATGGAGGGTCAAGGGGAAAGGGGACAGAAAAACAATTCTAGCACCAGAGAAGTAATTAAGTAATTTTAGAGGTCCCAAGTCTTCTAAAATATGACTCATAGCCCATGTCCAAGCAGTACATTTATTATATGCCCCTCAGAGGCCTAGGTCTTTTGTTTTATTTTTGTTTTGGTTGTTTTTTTTGAGAAGAGGACTAAGTGCTTTCTGATGACACAGAAATGTGAACTCTTACTCAAAAAGACAGTAAAATTTCCCCAGGCTTTACTCTTATCCAGAACTGTGTCTGAACACAGTGTTCTTCAAAACTCCTGCCTGCAAGTTAAGCTGAATGCATGTCTGTTCTGAACAGTTACAAGGAGGCTTGAAGAAGCACTTGTTTAGTCAGTGCTGGGCTCTTGTCACACACACCAGCTGAGAACTGAGAAAAGCACTGCCTCAATTTTAGAAACAGCACCGCTTGTCAGGAGAACATAATTTCAGCTAAGTGCAGTGTGAACCTGGCAACTATTTAACGTAATATTAGCACTTGAGCTAAAATTCTTGGTCAAATGATCAATACACCACAACATTCGAATTGGACAGATCAGAGTAAAATCAAGTTTGTTACACATTGGTTAGTCTGAAATTCAGCTAGAATACTTACAGCGATGAGGCTTCAGGCAAACCAAATATGCTCTTTGGGCACAGCCAGCCATTACTAACACTACAGTTTTGTTTTTTAAATTAAAAACACACACACAACTCACTTCTTGTAAAAGCCCTGTTTTCTTAGGACAGCTGAAGATCCAAACAGTGGTAACAAAAGTGTTCCAACTAAACCTTACCACATGAATAAAGCAGAAATATCTATGATATTAAGCTATACTTTAGTTCATCTATTTCAGTAGAAAAACTTGCTTAAACTTCATGCAACAGCTTTCGAAATTTGGAGTAAAACATAACGAAGAGCAATTGTTATACAGCACAAGCAACTGACAGCGGCTAACTACCAGCTTGCACTTTATTTCTCTATTAGAGAGCGTTCCAAGATGCTATGACACAGAAGGGGTTACTGAAGCTGTAATTCTGCGGCTGATGGAACTGGCTTTTAACCCTACCAGTGTGTCCCTGGAAGACCCAACTATGTACTTGGGGCTCCAACGGGTGCTCAGTGAACTTTTTCAGATCTGTCAAGGGCTCATACAATATCATGACCTAGGAATATTAACACTTGCTGGGTAGCTCACGGCTTTCAAGTCTGACATTTGAGGTTTTCCTTTCAGGACAAACGGTACCGGCACCCAGAGATGGGGAGGCAGCAATACAGAAGTGTCAGATGACAAAAAGGAGTAAGAGAAAGTGCTGCATAACACACCACTTAAGACAGGAAGTGGACTGTTTTCTTGTCCATGGCGTAATACACACTAATAAACAACATAGCCACCTAGGCACTGCTGTCAGCAACAGCACACATCACAATCCCATCCTTCTCCAGATCAAAAGAGGGAGGAAACGTAAGGCAATTCCTCACTGGCAAAGCTACCAAAAAATTAGATTGCTTACTAAGAGTAGATAAAAGAATTGTATACAGTAAGAACTGAAAAAACTGCAGCAAGAGAAACAAAAGCATGATTTTAGTTCGTGTTTTTGCATAAATTACATTGTACATTGAATGGAGACATGCACTGCCTTCTGCCCATAATCTTGACTCCAATTAGTTCCACACATACCACTCACTTTAAAATATGAGTATTTGTTGCAGCAAAATAGTTCAAAACAGGAGTTAGAGATAACATTTATTGCTATTTATAAGGCCTACAATAGTTCCATGGTGTTATAATAGTCTCTTTCATAAGCTGTACCTTACCCAGAGCAGAAGGCAGCCATAAGCGTACATATCAGAGGCTGGAGAAGCTGGTTGTCCCATCTTCAGTTCAGGAGAAACTAAGCTCAGGGTACCAACAACCATAGTGCTTGCAGCAGCACGTTGTTCCTACAGAGAAAGAGTTGGATCTGTAAATTTTAAGCAAGAATACCAGCATATTGAAGCAGACAACCCCAGCTCTCCCCCTTTAGTCTGTTAGACACCTTTACCAAAGCGTTCTGTGCTGACCCAGACTGTGAAATTAAAACTCTCCTTTATTGATAGAAACACTGGCACGTAAAGGGAAAAGGAGACAAAGCCACACACTTATCTGCTACTGCAACAGAAGAATAAGGCTGGCAGATTTTCCTCCAAACTACAACTATTAAGAACTCAGAAGGCGCTAGAGAACATGAGTCACAAAAACTGGTCAGATCACTGGCAGGAGGGGCGAGGGGGAAGCCACGCACACCAAATATTACAGTTCACCTTAAGAAATGTTGAACACCACTTTGGAAAGCTTCAGTTTACTATCAGTTCTGCCAGCTTTCCTTTTTCCTCCTTCCCTGCCCGTCTGGCCTTCACCTGAAACTAGCTGCTTCCTCCCCCTGGTTTATGGGAGAAAAGTGATGTTTTAGGACTTTCTACTGCCATAGTAGAAGTTAGACCCCAAGTTTCAATTCTCCTCCATGACAGCCGTAAGCACCAGCCACAGCCACGCTGGAGGACACTGGCCTCCAGCCTGCCAAGACGACTCGGTAGCACAACAGCAGCAGTTACCAGCTCTGCTCTGCCATTTGTAACAACGCAGTAAGTACAGCTACCAAGCAGTACAGACATCCTTACTGGGAAGGGCAGACTGGATCCATACAAGCTGCTCACTTCAGCACAGCCATACTTGCAGGGAGGAATAAAGAGAGAAAGCGCTCCTCAGCTCTTGCAACTTTCAAGATGACACCAACTGCACTGAGTATGACCTTTCAGAGAATTCAGCTGTCAAAGCCGTAAAAACATCTCTCACTTTTAAAATTGGTACTTATTGCAGGGGAACTATGAAGTGGTGTCCAAACATGGGAGACACTTCACGAGATTAACAGAAAACACATCTCTACTTGGAGGTAAAGGCTCTCAATGAAATGTATTTAATATACACATATTTTATAATTTATGTATGTATACATATAAAGTGTTCCCTGTGCTTGTGGGACAGTTGAGCTTTTTTTTTTTTTTTTTTTTTTTTTTCAAATCACCATGAAGCACACATCTAGCATAAAAGAGGCTTTAGCTCAAAGAGCCTGAGTTTAATATTTTAAAGGTGACTACAAAAAGAAGCATCTTTATTACATACTTTGCCATGTAAGTACAGCGAGTAAGAAAAGAGATTGTGTTCTTAGAGATTAGCATTTTCCCCAAGAACTATGAAATTCTTTGCCACAGAACATGAGGACTAAACCTAAGTATAAATACTGGTCAGTTTATACAGGTTATAAAAATGTGAATTTAAAATACTAGAACAGATTAGAACCCCATTACCAACCATACAGAAGTGAAATACTTCATATGAGAGCTAGATTACCCCCTCCTTCTTCTAACATGAGTTCTTACACTCACTTCTGATGATGCAGATTACCAATGAACACATAAGACAAAAAAGTATGGCAGTTTTCACATTTCAGTTCATTCCTTTGCTTAACTAGTGCCTATTCTCAAAAGTCTTCTCGCCGTCCCTCAAGATTAGGTTGTGCTTACAAAAACTTCAACAAGATTCAAACTGCCCAACCCTATTCAGGCTAGGAAACAGGAGTCCTACTCCTGGGCACAACATTTCTCACAGCAAGTCTTATAAACTGCAGATGCACTTGTCTAATTCGATACATAATTCTGATCAAAAGTCACTGAAGGTTTTTGTTTTTACCTCTGATTTCGTGAAATCAAAGTCTCCAACAACTCCTTGTTTTCGATTCACAGCAAAGACATTATTTCCATGCAGAGATCCATGAACTATACTAGCTCCATGCAATGTCTGTAGACCTTGAGCCACTCCTTTCATCACTTTTAATGTTTCCTAAAAATTTAATTTTCTGGTGTTAATATTAAGATAGATAGATGCAGAAAAGCCAAAGAAAAGCATGTTTCCACTCCAGATTTTTAACTTTCTACATATTCAGATTAATTCCCAGTAAGATTTTGATGACTCGCAGAGTCAATCCAATGAAAATGCAGTCACTGCTTAACAAGTCACTAACGTTGTAGGGGGAAAAGCAAACAAACATATAATTAAAAAAATAAAAGTCACAGAAATGTTTATCCCAAAGCATACTATAACTAGCTTCCAGCAAAAAGAACTAGAGAAAAGACTGCCTCACCTTCTGGCTACTGTTTCTTTGAGAAAAGATGGCTGCCCAACTGCCTGTAAAGAACTTTGCAATCAAGGGGAGGCAGGGGGAAGTCCTCTAAACTAGAAGAACGCTTTCATTTCCAAACCTCTGTAACATCTTAATTCCAGTACTTTTAAAACATAATTGCAATTTTTTCAAAAACCAAAAGAAAAAAATACTTACAAAAACACAACCCCCCCGACACACACCAACATGCATCCAAGTAAAGACCCTTCAGAAATTACAGTCTGACTGATCAGATGCTAAAAATATTAGCCAACCTATCTTGTAAGTTTGCATTGTCTTGTAAGTCATCGTCTGCCACCAAAGGAAGTTACACTGGTGAAACACTGTGAAGCAGCAGAAGACAAAGCAAAACGAGAAGAGTTTCGTTCACATACAAGTAAAGTGCTGATATTCTAAGCAGTTGTACTTACTTTTAAAGTTAAAGGTGTATCAGCCTGTAAAGCTTCCAGACTTGCCCCTGGATAATATGGGACCATTAAATATACCAGAGGATCAGACTTCAACAGAAAAAAAAAAAAAAAAAAAACCACATTAAAAATAGATCGTTTCAAATATCAGAAATATTGGAAAGTTTAACATACGCTAGAAGTGTGACAAATCAATTGAGTATGTTTACCATGGAGCTAATCTATCCAAAGTAAACTCAGTAAGGAAATATTCTTCTGATTCAACGCTTCAGTTTAAAAAAATAAAAATAAAAAATAAACCTTTAAGGCTCAACTCTAAGTTTTTCAACTTAAAAGAGAAATCAAGATCATGAATTTGAATCTTGCCTTGCAGAAAAGAAGAAACATCAGTTGTAGTAATCCAGAATTCTCCCTCTGCTGACCCCAAGCTCTGTGATATTTGGCAACTCTTTCTATCACTTTGGCTTCTGAATTTGTATCTACAGAATATCCCTGAAAAACAGAACAAATATCCAAGCTACTACTCCCAACGCCTATAACCGTTACTGCATGACACTTCTAAAGTAGAAATGTGTATCATTAGGTTCCATCAAATGACCTTCTCTTGTACTTATTACAAAATTCAACTTCAATCATTACAGATTATTCCCTTATTTACTCATTAACACTTAAAATCTAGTCCAGCAAATCAGGGAGCTTTTCTCAAATTAGTGATGCGTATAAGTCAAGCTCAAAGCAAGGAGATTTAAAACTATGCCTCTCATAACAGTATATCCCTTGGGTCTCCTACTTGCTGGCAGATCAGAAAAGAGTCAGAGCAAGGGAAAAGAAGCAGTTCCTGAAATTTGACAGCAAAATCATCAGGAAGACAAAATAGCATCTGCAAAAAGAAACAGGAGTAATGAACAGAAGAAAGGGTCCACCAAATGCCAGAAAGAACAGACAGTAGAGGGAAGCACCATTTACGACTGCTGTCCTCAAAGAAGAGAAAACTCAAAAAATAACATACAGACAATCTAGAAGGAAAACAATGGTTTGCGTTCTATGGGCTTGTTGAACAAGAACTGTTGAACGCAGGACTAAGAATAGCACAGAGTTCGGGCAGAATTAGTACGTTAATAAGCCAAGGGCTCATCACTTGCAGTGCTTATACTGAAAGTCAGTTAACAACATTACCTTTAGAAGAACCTTCTGATCTTGAATATCTGAACACACTAAAGGCCGCTTTGTGCTCAGTTCTTTCATGGGTTCAGCATCTAAAAGGTCTCGCTCCAAGCTACGCGTCAGAAGTCCACCAGAATTCTGAAGCACATGTACACACAAATATCCAGTACAAGGGCACCGCATTTAACAGCTGCTGAGATTCAGAGACTCTGACTACCTCTCCTCTTCATCAATAAACTCAAAGCACAGAAATACTTTGGACATGCTAAAAATTAAGTTACAGCATCTGTTACAAGAGGCTGACTACACACAAAATGCCATGGCAAAAAAGAAAGTGGAACACATTCCTTAACACCACCCAGGGTGGGGAGTAAAGGATATTTAAGAGTACACACAGCCCCCAAATGGACATGAACTGCGCAGAGCATTACTGATACAGAGCCTTGATAGTGCCCTAAACAATAACTGACAGCACAGGAAGCACCCAGAGAAACAAATCTGCTTACCATATAGTCCAGAATTCCTGCTTCTGGATGAAGAAGTGGCAACTCAGGGAACCATTTCTGCACCAAATACGTAAGCTTCTCCTGAATTAAGAGAGCACGGCCCACAGCTTCAGGTTGCTAGCTTCTGACATATACACTTACACTGACATCTGCAGCATACGCAGGACATTCAAAAGAACACCTGCCATGACTGTACTCTTACCGTCTTTGGCAGCATCACTCAGAATACAACCGCCATTCCCTTTTCAAAAGGAACAAAGCAACAACAAAAAGAACACAGACCACGGCAGTAGTTCAAGACAGATACATTTTTGAAAGCCATCAAGGGTGGGTAACAGGTCCTAAAGAGCTTACGTGCTATCAAGGAAAACGTTCCATCTTTTTTGCAGTAGCCCCCAGACAAAGAAAACAACCTCACTAGGAGTAAACTGCAGACAAAAATCAATTCGTAACAGACCAGGACATCCAAGGATCTTCAGGCCCTACACAGCTGTAATGCAGCAGGTTAGCTATTGTGTGTACACACACGCTCACTCAAATGCATCTGCAAAGGCAGGTGTATCACTCTCAGAAATCCTGGTGCATTTCTACCTACTTGCAAGACGATGGTTTCTGATTTTTCCCTCTACTTAGAGCACTTGGAGAAAGGGTAACCTCCTTCCGCTTCAGGAAAGATCCTGCTCGTAGCTAGTTGTAAGGAAGGCTGTATTTCTTGTAAGAACGAAAGCCTTTTCTTCAGCAACTGAGCTTGCTCTGTCACCTGTAGCAGTTATGGGCTGAGAACTATCAGTCACATTTCCACCTGCTATACTCCCTTCTTCATAGGATCTTAAAAGACTATTTCAAACAGAAATAAGCAAAACTGATCATCCTCCTTTCCTTATTCCAAGACGACGCAACCTTATTTTGGAGGTTTCACCCAAAACGGGCCATATTAATACGCAATACTGTATTGTGCTTAAATTTTTTATATATTTGTTTTACCCAGAACACACATTAAAGTAACTGAAATGCAGATGTCTCATACAGCTTTGTTTTAGCTGCCTAAATAATTTAATACTTACATATTCTTCTTGTTCCTTGTATATTTCCTGAAGAACACTATTTCGCAGTTCAGCAATTTCCTTTTTTATTCTTGTCATTTCAAATTCACTGTAATCATCAGACTGCAGGAGGAATAACAAAGTTACTGTGTATTATTTGGTATAATAGCAGTATGAGAATTACCTACTATATAAGGATTAAAAAAGCAACTTCAAAACTGTGATATGGAAACTAAGCATTCTCAAATGTATATTTTGAGAGAATCTCTTGGATTTCCAGGAAGGAGACTGAATAAGATCTAATCATAGGAAAAGCTGCTTGGCTTATCTTTGTGACAAACAATGTTCTAGCCCTCTGCCTATTTGTTTCCTAACTCAAAGAGGTTCTTTTTTTTTTTTTTTAAATTAGCTGATCATCTATAATCACAGCAGCAACATCACTTGTCTACCAGCAACACCAGGCTCCATTATTCTTCCTTCCCTCACCCCCCATAATAGGGCTTTTTCCTCCATGTCACCTCACTTATCAGATATCCTCTTCCCAGTGGGTTTCATTAGCGTCGCTCAATTTTAATCCCTTGAGGAAGCTCACTGCCCCTTTACAAGGCTTACAGGAACACATAGAAAGGTTCTTTCTCTTAAGCATCACCAGAATGGTTTAATCACAGAAGCAGAACTTCCACATTAATGAAACAAACAGCGCTGATGTTGCAGCAATATTTACATTCTTTGAACTTATTTGGAGGGTAGGAAGGGAACCCTGAAAATTAAAGCAATGTTGACTCTTGCCACCAAAGGAGAGGTACATGTGTCATTAGCAAAGTGGTTGGGGCTGAGAGTGACAACTTTGGTAATGAAGGTTCAATACATAGAAGAAATCTAATGTCCTGGCTCCTACATACTTAAACAGGAGAGGCAAGACTGACTTCAACCATACCAAAGCAAGAACTGAATGCAAAAAATATCACCCTCTGGACTGATCAGTGTAACAGAGATACTATGGAAAATGGAAGTAACCACACAACCAGCACAGTAAAGAGACAAGACTGCTCACACAGTACTGAACAGTGAGACTGTGTCACCAGGAGGACCTCTACCCTTCCCAAAAGGGCCTCTTTGAGAGCTGTCCCAGCCTTGGCAGCAGCTGGATTTTGTTAAGAATTTGTTATTACTTACAACAGCATCACCTAACCCTAGTTTCTAGCTTGTAATGAGGGAGACACAGGCATTTACCCTCACGGAATGGCTGTATTTTTATTTTAGACTATTCAGGCTTTGCCTCCGGGGCCTGAAAAACTTTTGTAGTTAAAAGCAAAAATTCAGGTCAAGCAATTTCAAAGTGCTTGTTTAGTCAGGACTTAGAAGAACACATCTTTGAAGTGCAGAAAAACTGTTCTATGCAGTTACCACTTACTTGGAATATACAGAATTAATGTTTCTAAATCAACTTTAAGAAAACCTGCAACACACATACTTCCTCAAAGTTGCTCTTTTCAACCAGCTTCCATCTTAACTGGGCCTTCAAATTTTTCAGAGTCTTCTTAATTGATAGTAAGTTGTCAATATTAGGTCTCCTGTTCAGCCATTCCACCGCCTTTTTTTTGAACTTTAAAAAAAAAAAAAAAAAAAAAAGCAGCTTCCTACTCAATTTTATTTTAATTATGCTTTAGTTCAATACCTTAGATAAACTGTCTGAATCCTACCTGAACTTGGCTTTTCAGGGTCTTTATCACAAACAGGTTTTTATTTCACTTAACTACATTAAGAACCTTCTGGAAAACATTTACTTACGGCTTAATCTCCTTAAGTTACAAACTTATCAGTTTGTAAAGAATCAAAAGACTCCACCTTCCCTTCTTTATTTAAAAAAAGAATACCTTTTATTTTTTAATGAAATGAAGCTTTGGCTGTATAAAAAACAACCACAGTACTTATGCCTTAACTCAAACAGTTTTCTCATCACAAATATATTCCTATAATTTCCAACAGGAAAGAGGAAAGATAAAAGGATATGTTTCAAAAAGAAATCAGGACAGAAAGGGTTACTAATAAAGGTCTGCGTGACAAATATATAACGCGGAAACTAACCTCAACACTGGCCAAGTACTTGTTCTGTATGACAGCGATTAGATGTTGCTCTTGATGAATCTTATGTATAACTTTATTGTAAGCACTTCTAATTATTTGCTCATCTGCCTCATCATGCTCCTGGATTGAATTACAAACACAGAGAAAGATTAAAAGCTAGGAGTCATTCTCCACTGAAACATACCAATATTTAACATACAAAATCTTTACTTAGAAATTCCAACTGGTAATAAAAAAGCTCAGATAACAGACTTTTTATCCCTCTTCTTGAAGAGGCCAGATATGGAAAGTCAGCAAGTTTTAAAGAGCAGTTTCCAGCAGTTTCAGCAGAATAAAGTTAACTGACACTTCGATGCAGCAACTCCATTTGATATTTCACATGCTATGAAAGAATTTCATAGCTCTCTGAAATGCCTGTATACCAATGCACGGAGCATGGGGAATAAACAGGAAGAGTTAGAGGACTGTGTGCGGTTGCAGGGCCATGATCTCATTGCAGTTACAGAGACATGGTGGGATAGTTCACATGACTGGGATGCTGTCATGGATGGCTATGTGCTTTTTAGGAAAGACAGGCCAGGAAGGCGAGGTGG